ATATATATATATATATATATATATATACAGAAATACTTTGGCTGATGCAAGAAGCCTAAGAGTGTGAGATAGATGGACTGAAGTAGATAATCTCGAACACCCAAACCAAGCGGCAAAGAAATATGGCACACAAAATACAGTGACTGAACTTACAAGGCAGGCTGCACAACAGTTCTATAAAAATATAACAGAACCATCGAGATGGTAAGCAAACACAGAAAAGAATATATGTTTGAGTAACCTTCATAAAACCCTCATTGGACGGATTTTAGTCGGTGAAAAATTAGGGGAATATATCTAAGGAAGGCCATGAAGTATATGAAGGGCATGGATTTCATACTTGTTTTCAAACGCGACTGTCGTGTGGAATCTATAACCTCTTCACTATGCAGTCCACCTCCTTACATCCAGATCTGTAAATAGATGAATTTGATTGGATGGAAAGGAACCCATGGATTTACAAAGGGACGGCGTAAGATGTCCCAAACAAAGGTGGTGACTTCAGGCCAATAACCTGCATGTCGAACCTTTACAAGTTGACGAATCATACAATTAGATATTGCGACAAGAAAACTACTTGCAGATAACCAATTAGAAATTGTTGGAAAGGTTCAAGGTGCGAAAGAGCAGGCGCTCTTGAACATGGCGGTATGCAGAGAGCATGGAAATCAGTTACTTACCACGTGGTATGACGTTAGAAAAGCGTTCGATTCATTTAGTCACAACTATTTGATTAAGTTTATCGAAAGGCCCATGTCAACGTGGATTGTTAGATTTCTGAGAACCATCACCTCCAGATGATCGGTTACATTGAAAAGCAGTGGATAGAAAATATAGCGGAGAATCCGTCAAGGTGACAACCTTTCTTCACTATTGTTCGTTCTTTGCATGAACCTGTTGAGCTAGGTGGAGGTTCTAACTGATCAAAGGATGCATGTAACGAACCATTAACTATTAGGGAATGATTTCAACTTATTGCTGCCGACGGGGATATCATGAAAGCTATGGCCGAAGAAGTCCAGGAATTCTTTGAAATAGTAGGATTAGAGGTGAATCCAGCGAAGTTATCCACTAATACTGAGGTATGCGCTGATAATCCGGTGCTTTTGGAAGGAACTCAAGGGTATAAATACCTTGGTATAATGGAAGACAGGACTAGCGCTCCGACCCGAGAAAGCTACGATAAAGTGCGAGCAGAGATTTTGGCGAGAATTGAACGACTAGCCAGAACTGCACTCAACGCTAAGAATTTTATCAAGGCATAAATGAGCATGCCATAGAATTGATAAACTACTGTACTGGGGTGCTCAAACTGTAACTAGAGGACTTTCGAGCAATTGACCATGATATCAGACAGTTACTAACTAGATACGGAATTGACATCCAACCTGCATGTTTGGAGGGGCTGCACCTGCCAAGGGACGAGCTAGAACGTGGGCTTCATTGCCTTAAACAAAGAAGGGAGCTAATGCTTCTGCAACTTCATAATGTACTTGTAGAAAGTGCGCCCATATCTACCGAGAGGGCGGCAATTTTGAAGCATAAAAAGACTCACAACGCGTACTTAGCAATTATTGTACCCTACCTTCAGACTACAACCTCGTTGAAAAACCCTGCCGTCGAAAACATATAAGCAGCTCAGAAAGCACTCCTGTATAGCGGAATGGAAAAAAAAATTCGGCATGCAAAGGTATAGAAAATGAGCTAACTTCAATGTCGAATTCATCAATGTGGCTATAATTTGGAAATATTATTTCACAGGATGAAGCGCGATACTGTCACTTCTAAGACAGAAATATGTTTGGAGCTTAGAAATGTTGTGCCCACATTGTAGGAAATGTGTGAAGACGGTAGACTATCTAGAAACGCAGTGCGAGAAAATGTCATATTACGACTTTTAGAAGGCACAATGAAGTCCTGCGATGTATCCATTTAGGACTTGCAAAAAGTATGATCTTAGAGCATTCTCACGTATGCGGTGCCATTTAGTTCAGGAAATCGTCACTAATGAAAACGTAGACATCAGAGTCAACAGGCGAATAAAAGTAATGGTGGATTGACCGTATATCCTGGTGTGTGATAAGAAGCGACATTAAGTAATCGTGATAAAGGTTGGCATCACTAGTCACGACATATTGACAACAGTCGAGATCGAGAAAAGTCGAAAATATAATTCTACTGCCAATGAACTCGGGTCTGAGATGAAATGCAGGACGAAAATAATGCTGTATGTCATGACTTGGGGTGAGGTTGTAACGAACTCCCATAAACGTTGCGCGAAGGATATTAGTATATCTGATCACTTCAAGGCATATATTCAATAGTGCTCATAAAGACATAATGTTTTCGTTTTTCACATTTTTTTAAAAGTATTCAAAAGCATCTCCTTCGATGAATTTCACGAGGATAAAGCAAAGACGATCAGTACAACAAATTTAGCGGGAGATAAGTACAGCCAAAGTGCTGGGATACGATCCAGCGCCAGAATCAATAAAACAAAATAGAAGACTCACCTCTATCTTTTCTTCTCTTCTTATATATATGTATAATGCAAACAAAAATTGACCTCCAAAATTGTTAATACTACTTTTTGCTTACTTATTAGTGGAAAGATATATTATTTTTTGTAACACCTCGATTTTTCAGTAATGCTGGAAGCAATTTTATCTGATATGCGAGAGCTAGAGGCTAATTTTAATGCAGCTAAGAAGGAGCGTGATTCCAAAGGGGTAGATTGCCCTGTGTCTTTGTTAGAATTTTTAAAAAAATGTGAAAAACGAATAACAGCTCTACAAGCGCAGTGCAAAACCGCTTCTGTAAGTTTGCAAATTTGATAAATAAGTTTGCAAAAATTGTGTTTCTCGTTTTATTCCTTCATCATAGTTGTGAAAATTTCTTACTTAATCAGAATGAACGTCACATGCACTAAAAGTATTTACAAGAATCAGAACAAAAATATTTGTTTTATGAATCATCATCTATTTCAGGAAGCTTTTAATGCTTGTGTTGAATTTTATGGAGAGTCATCTCGAAATCAGCAGCCACATACATTTTTTTCTCGTCTGTTGACATTTGCTAAACGTTTCCAACAAGCAGTTGCTGAGAATGAAGCTCGCTATATTGCAGAACAGGTAAAAGTTTAATATTTTATCAGTACGATACTCCCCAAGATAACAGTTAGAAATTTTTGCTAATTTCTGTTGTGAATAAGCTCTTGCTTGCCGTACTGCATTTCATTTCCTTCTTGTAGTTAATAGATAGTTTTGTTAAGCGCGCTCAGGAAGATCAAATTCGGCGGCAGCGAATTGGTGTAAGGCGACGAATGACTAAAGACGAACTGAGTGAGAATGTGATTGATGAACTAGCGCAGAAAATTGTGATGGCTGATTTAAATTGTGATTCAAGTGTGAAGCCGAGAAAAACGAAATTAGATTCTAGTCAAATTGATGATGGTGATTTTGAGAAAATAATGAACGGTGAGTCCATATTAACACTAAACAAAGTTTGAAGAAGAAAATCAATGCGAAACCTGTTAATAAACCCAATTTTTTGTCGCTTTGATGTGGTTCGGTTACAAATGCTCTATTCCGTATCTCACATTTTAATCTTATTCTTGTGATCAAAATTTACTGTCGAACAATATGATACATTCCTAGTAGTAGCGACAAAGTAACTGTGAGATTATGAAATGTTACAGAGATTATCTTTAGGTTTGAAAGAAGGAGCTTATGTAACATTTGATGGTGTACAATGTACAAAACGTTATAGTTCATCTGTTGCAATTAGTGGCAAAAAATTCATGAACCCACCACCTGTTGGGCCAAAAGCAAATCGACCACCTGAAAAACCTCAGTGCCTTTGATCCAAATGTTTGCAGTCATTTGCATGTTTTATAATTATTGCTTAATAACATCTAATAACACTCATTGTCAAAGCATTTTTAATGCTGTGTTTAATTGATGTCGTTTTATCGCTACAGAACTGTCATTTTTACTGAAAATTCAATTGATATATCAGAAATTAAGATGTTTTATTTCGATTGCATCAAAATGTCTAATTGGGTTTTTTTGATGCATTGTTTTCCATATTTCTTTATTTTTGACTAATGCACTGCTGTATTCAGCTAGTAATTTTTTTGTAAATAGCGTTTTTGATATCATTAGGTTTACTGGATTTTAGTGTTTCCTTCATTTTCTTCACTTCCTTCTTATACACATAGCTAAAAAAGCTTTATAATTTGTAATTATCGTTCATAAAAAAGGAGCTTCAAAGAATTTAATCTCTATGTGAAGTCAAGTGCTCAAGGTTATGATTGCATTTTGTTAACTTCGCATCAGTTAGTCATCTAATTTGTGCAATTTGATCTATACAAACTTTCTTTAAAAAATATAAATTATTCGGGTTTCAGAATGAACTTTATTAGTGATTGAAGTTTCTAGTAGCACGATATGATGTATGCTTCATCATGTGACCAATTTCTTTGCTTATTTGCTGTTTTTTTTTTTCAGACGTACTTGTTCAGGCAGTAGATTCCAGTAAATTGCTCAGACAATAGATTCCGGTAAATTTTTCAGACAGCAGATTCCAGATTCTGTGCATTCCAGTAAATTCTCAATAATGATTTTGAGAAAACAATCGTCAAACTGCTTGACTTCATTAAATTCTGTAATAAAAATTATTCCTTCTCAAAGCTACATTTATATGTCTGCATTAAAGGATAATGCCCTGTTATCTTCTTTAATCAAAATGTCATCATAATATACTATACTGCAATCATTTTCCTTAGTAAATCTTGGTTCAGCCATTTATAGTCCTATGTATTGTTTGATAAGAAAATAACGATATATTTCTCGCAACCTTTGTGCTGCTCTTTTCACATTTGAATATTGAGTCCTGACATCATATATAAGTAGCAAAGTAACGATCCATCTGCTAGTTTAATAGAAATCGTTTTTGTTGTGTTGTCGATTTATTCATTGTTCTGGTTACATGCTCAAAAGGAGGTGAACTTGAGGATCTTTGATAAAGTTTCTTGCTCAAGTGAATGTTCATTACATAACGAGTGTTTGTAGGAAATAATCTAAATTTTAAGTTCTGTAGGATTCTTGGTTAGCATGAATTGATATTACCTCAATTCATGCATTAGGAAGCTGATTGCTATCTATGTCGTCATTTCTTTGTGACCTGTCAAGGATTAGTTCACGACCTTATTGTTTGTGTATGGATATGTGTTAGGGTGCTTTGGTCGCGTTAAGTTGATATTGCAAAGTTGTGGACGGCATACGACATTATTCACTATCAGTTATGTGAGGTTGCTGAGTGCACTTTGAAGTTGTCTTCCTGGCATTCTATCTTGTTCCGTCTACAAAAAGTTAGATCATAGTGCTAGACATGGAAGCATTTCGTTGATGGACCGCTCGTTTTTTTTCCTGTTTTCATCCGTAATATCATATACCCATCATTTGTAAACTAGGAATGGTAAGAGTAATTGATGTAAGTTATCAAGAGTGAATGCTTTACATTTCGATTTGAGTAGTGTTCGATCGTATGGTTGCATTTTTTACCAGTAAAGGTTGACCATTCTTATAATCTTATTCACGAGTAGTCTTAATTTTTCCTCTAAAATTTAACGAGGTGTAAGTAGATCTGAAATGAAGACATAATTCAGAAAGTCATCACTTGTAAGAAATTCTGATGACGGCCAACAACCCGCTACTCAAGTGGACACCGAAGCATCGAAAATTTCAAAGGTAGTGTCTGTGATGCGTGCATTTGCTGAGCAAACAAATAACTTAGGTCTTGATGGATTACGAGATAATTATATGAAGTTACAAGCACGTGGACCACATCCATCAAATCTGACATTTAATGCGCAACTGCTGAACAGGACCAAATGTCGTTATCACGGTAAATGAATAGCTGCATGCATTTAATTCATTAACATTGTACTGGATATGCCTCTATTTTTCGGAAATTGTATTTAATTCAGAAGTTATGCTGCTAACTAAGACGATGAATTCAAGAGTTATCTGAAAAAGTATGCAATACCTATAAGTACCAAAACATTGTATTCATCATATTTCAAGAGGTTATAATTAGAACACATAAATGAGTTGTAAATATTCCATATCACTTCAGTTACCTTATTATAAACAAATGTTTTGAATGCTGACTTGTAGAGAAGCCCATTTCATTGGGAGAATTGAGAGTTGTATGTTTGCGTAAAGTATGAGATAAATCGGGGATGAATTGGTTCTATAATAGATATTATGTGTTTGGATCAGAGTCGTGTTATTCTTCGGCCATGGCAGAATGACACAAGTGATTTTATTCATGCAAACTGGATTCACAATGAACTTCTCGAGAATACATTCATCTGCACCCAGGTAATGAGAAATTGAGAAGCTTACTTGTAGTATTAATAGGATTTTGCTGTAACCATATAACCTATTACAGAAATTGACACCCATGTATACGAGTACTCTTACCATATTTTGTACTATTTCCTAATTAAAGAATATTGATCATGACCTTCAATGCTTTTCAGGGACCATTAAATGATACCTGCGCTGATTTCTGGCGGATGGTATGGCAAGAAAACGTAGAATTAATTATCATGCTTTGTCGCACTTGTGAGGAAAACCGTAGTAAATGTGCACAGTATTGGCCTTCAAATCCAAGTCAAGTGATAACCTTTTGTGGTATAACAATACGAACAGTTGAAGTAAGCAAGTAACATATCTTCTCATGTCGGGGTTCGAATATTATACTATCAGTTTTATTAATAGTACTATCTTTATTATTCATTCACTTGCACACTTATATCAAACTATTTTTTTTCGGTTTCCTTTTGAAATTACTTTTTTTTTTTGAAATTATCGGTGAATATCAGAACTTTAGAAGTGGGCGTTATCAGGTTTTCTAGTTTAGTGAGTTTTATTTTATAATGAAAATGAAGAAAATTGTAAGAGTATGGGAAATATTGAGTATTTTTAGGTTGAAATGAACAGTAATTTTTCTAAAGTTTATTTATGACAGATCAGATTTATGATGTTAAAACAATATCAAAAAGATAAAAGTGCATGTCTAAAAAAAACTGCAGAAGAAAATAGATGATCCGGATGTGCATTGTACAGCAATCTTGATGACATACCGAGGGGAACGCCGAACTTTAGCTCACTACCAATGGGTATCTTGGCCGGATAAATTTGTTCCGAATCAACTTACTGTACCATTCACTTTGCTTAGTTCAGCTCGTGCACGAAAAACACCCACAATCATTCACTGTTCTGCTGGGATCGGACGAACGGGCACTTTGGTTGTGTTGGAAATGGTTGCCAAGCAAGTTATAATGCTCTCCAGCTTATTTACTATAAATATGAGCAGAAATACATCTTAGGAAGAAGGCTGGATAATAACTGTATAAGCGCTTAACGCTTATAAATTAATTGCGGATACAGAGGAATATTAGTTGCATTAAACTGTAATATCAGTTATGATAATGTCGTACAAATCGTAACTTGAAGAATTTAATTTGTGACTCGCTTTTAGATTTGAAATTAAAGTGATAATCATGAGAAATTTGGTCAGTTTTATCAGATATGAAGACCATTTTTCAACATATATTTTTCTCATGAAACGAGAAGTTTGTTACATTATTTGCAGAAAAATTCTTTTAAAAACAGCATTTGTCAGTTAGGGATATATGTGATATGGATTCTGTATTATTATAAAACTATTTAAAATGTGGAGTTTGTTTCAACTATCAAGGATCCATCCTGAACTTTCTAGCTAGTAAAAATGATTGCAGGACATTATTGTCAGGTCGGATTCCAATCGTTCCAGAAATCATTTGGTCAATTAGGTCACAACGTTCTCGAGCTGTACAAAACGAAGAGCAATATCTGTATATACATTACTTGACAGTTCAGCGACTGATTAATAAAGGAATCGTATCCGACAAAGTTATTTCAAGTTAGTGTAGATCACAACTAGTTTCGTTTGTTGCACTTATCATTTCAGTTTAATGCATTAATTTATCTACCTTGCATATTTCGGATAGACTTGTAGCTTACTCCATTATGTTTAAATGAAGACAGATTATAATCCCCTAGAATATAAAAGGTCAATGTCATAAAAAATGTCTTGATTGTTGAGGTCTGGTTCGTATTTTTTTAGAATTTTGTCGTGAATATGAACATTTCTATTTCACGCGCACGAATCGAACGCAGATTCCGTTACCAGTTCACGTAGGAGTGAAAGAAGCGCAGACGAAGGGTACATCTGCACTTGAAGCTGCATCGAAAATCCAAGACATGAATATTACAGTACCCAATGATTCTCGAAAGGTTCAAACGCCTAAAAAAGGAAAGGGAACGAAGAAGAAAAAACAGCAAGTCTGAAAATTACTCGTTGAAAAAGCTTTTGATGAAAAAAATAATTTTGCTGCAGCTAAAAAATTCAAACCACATTTGGTTTTCAGGCCGTGGAAGTCACTGAAGAACGAGTTCCGGTATGCATTAATTATCTGTTGCCAAACAGTATCTCTCGAAATACTTCATATTTCTGAAATTGTTCACTCGAAGGTGCTTTTTATTTGAATTTTAGTCAGGAGAAACGTTAACCGCCGAACCAGCAAAGCCATCGCGATCTGTAGTTGACCTCCAGCAGCAGTATCAGGAGGCTCAATATGCTTTATTAGAATCTTACCGTAAAGCGCAAATGGCGTTACTAAAAACGTATGAGAAAAAAAAACGGCTAGGTTTTCAACTGAAGACCGGTCAAATTACGTCACAAGGATCCACTAAGCAAAAAGCACAGAAAGAAGCGCAAGCTGCTATTGCTGAAGTCGCCGGGATTAATGTTCCCCAAGCAACTCCAACTACAGTTACGACTTCAGCGCCTGCGGTAAAGCTTTCAATGTAAATTATTGATGCTTACACCCAAATCTTTAAGAAATTTTCTCAAATGCCACTGAAAATATAAGCAACAGTTCTCAAAAGATTAAAAAAAGCATTCACTTGTATTATATCCAGCAAACGAAAACTGAAGGAGGTGACGAACGCGTACCATCTGTTTACGCTTTCCTAACTGATGAAGTTTGGAAATTCAAAAGAATGGAAGAAAGACAAGCTCAGAAAGACGATGATGAGATAAATCGCGCAGACTATGTTTTTATGCAACCTATATATGCAAGCATCTATGGACCAACTCCAAGGAAAAATGTGCAACACGATGTAGTGGAAAAATATGTAATGAATATGCTTCCGGAACAGGTAGCTTTACCTATTTGTTGATTAATCTATTAGGAAATGAACCAGATGGATTCCGAAAATTGCTGGTTTGGAATGACTTGTACGAAAAATTGATTGGGAATTACTTACTCAAAAGTTCACGTAAATACCCGTGAACTTTTGAGTAAGTAATTCTCAATCAATTGTACAAAGCAAAAACTACTGTGAAATTCTGAATATTTGGTTTCAGTACTTTGATAGATCGGAAATTGAACCCGTTCGGACAACTAAAGGTAGACCTAAAGCAAGCAAAAGACGTACTAGTAAATCACCTCAAAAAACAAAGGTTATCTGTTTATAACCATCACAGCAGAAATTCATCATTCAAATTTTTTAAAAACAAAATATATTTTACAATGTTTCTGAAACCTCAGCATTCTTGTTGTACATTCAGTTCAAACAATCCTGAATTTCTTTGATTCATGCAACAGAATAGAACTGATTTATAGCAACGTTTGTTTAATATGGTCGTATTAGAGAGTATGCTAACATCATCGATACTAGATTAATTTTTTAGTTGTTTCTCTTTTTGTGAGTCTCGTAGTAATGCGATAATTTATTTTTTAGGATAAATAATCAACAAAATGGAACCAAAGTGGATACCAAAAAACTGCCCCAGTGAAATATTTCTTTATGAAGCTTACATATACTTCTATTCTATTTTGAAAAAATGGAGTGTTTTGTGTTAAATTACATATTCTGCACTACAAAGTTACCAATAAAGAAAAGCCCTTGCTGTTAAAGATCAGCTGATCAATAATGCAGAAAGAATATCTTTCAACGACAGTTGAAAAAATTATTTTTTGCAAAAAATATTAACCCGTCAGTGACATCATAAATTTATGTATTCAGATGCCTATTTTTTTTGCTCTCATTATGGTTGTAGATTCCTAGCTAAATCTAATTTTCAGATAAATGAATGGGTTGGCCATTTTATTCCACTATCACTAAAAAAGGAAAAAGGAAACTGCCTATAATACAAGAAATCATTTATGAAACTACAAAGAAGGGTTATTTAGTAGGAATTTGGTCAACGATGTCTCTTTGATTGAAAAAAACACCAACAATTGCAATAATTGACGTTAATTCATTTCGCAGTGAACCACTAGATCTGTCTTCTTTATTTAGAGTATCTCGTATAAGACGAGAGTTCCTCGCCAAATCCCTAATCGACGCACATGCATCCTGATTTAATGGCTGATCATCAAGTACCAGTAACAGTGCATATATCCATTCAAATAAAGGCCTTGAATATCCTTGGTCTATGAACACCTGAAAATTGGAGTAGTGCTGGTAACGGTTTAAGCAGTACACTGTTGAACTGAAATAATGTTAAAAGTAAAAGTCCTGAACGAACAATATCGAAAGAATTAAATTGCTGTACCTCTGTAAGATCAATAAGTGCGGAATTAATTTGTGTTTGTCTCAAGCTCAATACAAGGCGTAACGTCGGTGGATTTCCTTGATGATGTGCAAATTTTGGAATGTCTTCCAATTTTAGTGGAATTAAACTATTTCGCTTTTCTAAACAAAAAGTGCGCCATGCATCGGCTTCTTTCTAAAATATATCAGTTTTATAAAGAGTAAATTCAAGTTTATAGGAGATAAACGTAATTTCGAGAAAACACCTTCCTAAACCTTGCTTGCTAGCCTTCAAATATGGTTCATGAGACACTTAAAGAAACTTGAGTACTACAAACTAATCTCGTATTAACGAAGGTTATTTAAGTAAGTCGGCTACAAAGAAGATTTGACAACACTTCTCCCATTTCTCAGAAATATTCGGAAAAAAACTTTACACCACACTTACCAAATCTGGCAATTTTACGATACATGATCGCAAGTCTCGAACAATTGAACGGTGATTTGCATATTTTTTGCTCTGAATAGTGCGCGAAAATATTTCTGATACTTTTAATTCTGGCAGACTATTGGTGAGAATAAGTGAATATGAATAAGGCAGTAAAAGAATAAAGTGAAAACTTACAAGTACTGAAATTCTCAGTGAAAAAAAAATTTTAAGCATCTTACCAAATCTAAGCACTCCTGGGAGGGTGGATCACATTTGAACGCCATACTTTTAAATGTAGAAGGGGAAAAGTTTTCTCCGGGAACAATCTTTGCTGACGTGACTGCTGGACATTGTGCACGTGACACGCTAACCTTCATGAAGTATACACTTTTACAAATGACTGTAATCAACTAAATATGCCTTTAGACTAAACCATTATGCACTCCATAAATAATTACTCCAACCATACTTATAAGACTACTGAATCAGTGCGAATTCCAATGATAGCAATAATAATGTACCTGTTGCAAATAATGTTGAGGATCCCGAGGTGTTTCATCTAATGAAATATCTCGCTCATCGAAATTTCCTACGTCAAATACAGCTTCCTGTTCCATTCCGTATAAATGCGAATATAAATAACAAGCCCAAAAGCAACCAACACACCTTATTGTGATGAACAGGCCTGAGAGAAACGGACCAGAAATATCTAGAAATTTGTGCTACAAAACATCTGTTCCACTACTACATGCAATTTTTAATGAAAGAAGAGCATTAAAGCATCACATCACAACAATATATATTTGTGTGCGAAAATACAAAACTTTGCATGTATAGTGGATATGAGACACAACCAACTTAATATTTACATTTATTGAAAATACTGACATTAGCAAACTGATCAATACACGGATTCATAATTCAGCGGTACCGCTGTAAGAAAATGAAAGCAATACAAAATACGAAATCGATTTTGTAGAAATCTGTCACAAAAAGATTGCGAAATTTGGTCACAAGGCTGAATAGCTTAAAAAGCATAAATTGTGTAAAAACCAAAAGTAAAAAAGGGGGAATATATGCCAAAATATGTACAACTATTACCGAAATCTAGAGACTAACAAGTTTTCAAATTACTGAAATAAATGGCATCGTTGACATTAAAATGAATTTTCAATAAATAAAAAAATGCGTATGAAACATAAAAAACACAACTGCAATCTTGTCCTAACTACGTTCCTAAGCAACTTAAAAATAACAAACTACTAGAGAGCAATAAAAAATGTAAATAACTATCCATTTTTCTGCAACAAAGCTGCCTCGAACATAACGAATGGCATCAAAATCAATTCATCCATTTTTGACAATTTGGTGCACCACACAAACATGGAATCTTATCAGCTGCATCTTCGATATCAAACTGATAATCGTAGGTTAACTGCAAAATATTTTGACTATTGTACAGAAATTCAATGAATCAGCTATCCTATTTTACACGATTACAATAGATTACTTTAACGTTACGAAAAATGTGAAAGATCTCAATGTTGCACTGTTGTAAAAGTTAGCATTAAAAATTATCATTAGTTTCAAATTTCAGAAATACTTCTTCTCCTGCGCTTATAGGTCTGTTGGCAATAATTATGATTTTTTTGTCATCACCGCATGGACCGGAATCTACTAATCGTGTACTGCAGTTTGGATCACATGAATGATTAATGTATCGTGCTGGGCCACCAGCCATCGTTGCATCAATAAGGCGTTCTTCATCAATACGGAACATGTAAACACCACGATTTTGAGCTTCATATTTTTTTTCACGCATTTCTCCAACCTTTAAATATCTCATGATTCTACGTCATAAACATATTTTGAAGAGGTTGCACATGAAATTGATATATGGCAATTTAAACAGAAAATATCTTTTATGTGAAAGTGTTATTTCATTTACAGTACGAGTAAGAATACTGTATTCTAATCACGAATTCCTTTTCATAAAACTTCCTGCTGCAATGACTTCAATAAACTTGACTCTGTAACGAATTGACGAGACTTTTATTTTCAGGTGTTATAATTTTTAAGTCCTATGTTACAACTAACTTCACTGCGTATAACCTCGCCTTTGTACTCGATAATCATGGAATTCATCTCAATATCTCTCGATGCATATAATCCAAGTCCCTGAATTCGTGAGCGAGCTAAATAGACTGTATTTTTCCACTCTTTCTTCATTTTCTGGTATTGAGAATAATATGCCGTACCCAATTGTCCTGATTCCCATTTCGCACCGTAGAAATCTAATGATGAATTATTTGATCCACGTCCTGCAGGGCCATCTATTACACAAGTCGAAGAACTATTACAACCACGAGCTGAAAACAATGACATTTTTTCTTAATAAAATAGACGGAAGTACAAAATCCATATCACTTATATTACTTATTGACAAATGTTGTTCCAAGAGATCCCTTTTACAAAAAAGTAACAAACTTCTCGTGTCACGAGAAACATCTGTACTGAAGGATGATCGAATAGCAACAGCTGCTGCTGGCTGATTTCTATGACGGTGCTTGATAAGTGTACGGAATCTAGGTTCACATCTGGCACAACCACTTGGATTCACTGCCAGAGGTAAGTCCATCAAAGGAACTCCACCATGTTTGAATGTATACGTTATTAGTTGATCTACTCCTGGTAGCTAAAGCAAAAAAAAAAAGATCACATCTATAATTTATGCAAAAAAACGAGATCGATTTGTTCTAAAGATGTACAAATAATACCCTTACCGATTCAGTCATCTTTGATACAGCTGCTTCCGTAAGACCAAATAAATTTTCACCGGTAAGATTAGTTGAGAACAAGCGCAATAACCCATCATTTCTATCTCGCATTCGCTCCACTTCCATCAATACATGATTCCAAGCAGCTGGAATTTCAGATAATGAAAACATCACTGACAACAACTGAAGAAAAGAACAGAAAGTTCGTGAGCAAAAATCACTGCTATACCTGATGCCGAAGTTTCCCGGATTTCTGTTCCATCTTTGTACGAAATCACGAATTCAGGAGCTGATGCTTTATCACAAATCGTACACTGATATTGGATGCGATCTGTTGGATTGCTCGGTGACCAAAAAATTCTTCTCACATTGTACCCTATCTTGAATTTTGTTGTTACAGTTTCAGTAAATTCACAACTACTTTAAAATTCCCGAGACTATCTCCGAATTTGAGGGAGAGTAAAGGCTGTAAATGAAAGCTTACCGGAAAAATATGATCAGAATTATGGAATGTTTTCAGCTGTTCTGGAAGCAATTGTCCAATGTGACTAAATATCAAACTGCCTACTCGCAAAACCAATCGGTCAGCTTCGCTGTGAAACAATTTCGCTATTAACTGATTCTCTTCCCGATCAATGTAAATACGGCGCAAAGCATTCAAATGATCCAGTACCAAATCATTCCGATAATCATCATGATCTTCGCAAATAAACGTCTAAAATGACAGAAGAAATGCAACAAATTATGTGCAAAAGGATGAAAGTATATGAAAAAAATAACACAACATCTAACTTTATCCTTCATGAATTTTCCTTCCGTCGACTTTGCACAAAAAACATGGAAGTTCTTCGCGCAGTTCAATTTGTAGCATCTTAATGAAGCACCCATAAGTTGACAAACTGAACAAACAACGTTGACTGCTCGCCTTAACGCATCTTCCACATTGATTAGTGCACCACCAGAAGTTTCATAAACCTATAATTGAAAGAAGTCAGGATGCTACAGATAATCTGAAGTTCTAAAGTTTTTGCAAACATTTCAATTTTCGTACACCATAGCTTCTACAATACAAATTAAAAATGTATAAGCGATCTACCTCTTCCGACCAAAGTGCACAATTAACATGCACCCATATGTTGGCATCTGCATTTAGAAGCCTTCCACAACTTTCTGATTCTCCATCCCCATAATGTTTACAAAAAGCACATTGCCGCTTGTCTTCTGTAAGATCCAAGCCCTGGCAGCGTAAAATACTTTGAAGTTCGACAGCCAGCTCTTTCTAAAACTGCTATTTTTTAATCAAATACAATCTTTCAATCTTTCCAAAAATCTATGAAATACACAGAAAGAACAAAAATTAAACTAGATCACTTTTTTACCTGACGTAACTGAACAGATAGATCATGGAAACTTTCAAGAACAGTTGTATTGTACTGCATCCAAAGCTGTCCTTTCCACTTTTTTTCTGAAGCTTTCTGGACGGTGCGATCTCCCATCAGTGATAAATCTCGAGCTTGAATTATCTATAAAACTTATATATCTGACATTTCCCTTCACTAATTCTTTCATCAACGCCTGTACAAAATTTGTTCAAGTCTTGAATTCAAATTCAAAATGAGGGAAATCACTGCAGATAAGAAGTTGAACCTGAACACTGTTCTTTATATCTTGCTCAACTCGGCTGTCACTTAATGGTGAGCAAATATTAGAATTTGCAGATGAATCTAACTGTCCTTTGAACTGAAAAATATGCAGTTATAGAAAATACAAGGATGAGATTTTACTGTAAAACAATGATAAATATGCTTAGCGAAAATTCTGGATGGAAATGTTTGCAGTGAAGCCATACGTTTAAAAAAATATTTAAGTGTCAGATATTGGATGAATGAAAACGATACTAATAATATCTAAACTAGTTTTCAAAAATACGAACTACAGTCACAGTTTAATTAAATAAATGACCATAAGAATTGCCTTTTCAAGATAAAGACATTTCGTAAAATTATCGACACTTGCTTGTCTGAGCTTTGCTAATGTTTCAGCCCCAATAAAACGTTCTGCTCTCTGGAAATGAAATATCGAAATGTTAATTAGAAATAACAAAAGAAAACTGCAAAGGATAAATAAACTAAAGTGGAATGGAACAAACTGAAAGATCTTCTGGTGAAAGTACAGCCTTCACATTTGCCATATAATTATAGTAACAGTTCATTGAGCAAAATGCTAATGTTTCATCCTTTGGCTGAAAAAATTTCGTTCTAAAAAAATGATGAAATTTTTACAAATTTGTCATGATTAAGAAACTAAAAGACCTCATATTCAAGAATTCCTAGCTGGCGTGCTGTCTGACGTACTGCGGGCAGATCCATCAAAGCACCGCAATGTCGGCACGTAAAATCATCATTAGCCTGTGACTCAATCTTTTGAGTTTCGCCACAGTCTCCTAAAATGTGCTACAATTGCAATGCACTATTTCACAATTTCACTTTAATGAACAATTAAAAATGCATGAAAAAAAAGTGATTGTGAAAGATAGGACTGATAGACTGACTTTGAGACGGTTCAGGAGTCTGAGGAGGAGTATCGAACTCATAGTCTGGAAACCGCTCAATTCCTAATAGGATCATTAGCTGTTTCAAGGCGGCTTCAGCATCCAAACTACCTTCAGGACTCTCGAAAAAAATATTAACTTCTACTTTCTTGGGTAGCCCTTGTTTCTGAAACATTCCAGAGATGCAAAATATTCGAAAATTATTAAAGTTACTTTGAAAATCAATTTATATCCGAATCTAATTGATTCCCATCAGCTTCAAAAGTTCTCCGCCATAGTCAACTACAAGAAATAAAAAGTATGACTACTCTGTAATCTTAGTCATATATTATTAAAAATATTCAAAAATTTGCAGAAACAATTTTCAGAAAAGAAATTATTTGAATAAAAAGTAAGTGACTGCTTAGATAATACGAAAAATAATACTTCTAGAAACCATTATTAATTAATGAAAAACTGTCAAACAAAATGATTTTCAAACCTTAAAGAATGCATATCTTGGTGGAGCTTCTGGAGCAAGTGATTCAGGTATTCTAGAAATCTGCCGTAAAGGAGGAGAAGAAGAGCGACGAAACACAGAGAGTTCCCGCATTCTGTTTATTGGATTCTTTCTTTCATATATTCCTCTCGGAACCACATATCTTGTTCTTTCATAAAATAATGAGAAGATAACTAAATTACAAAAAACAAATCAGATGAATTTTTGAAATGCGATCATACAGACAGATATAATAAACAATAAAAGAGTGACAAATCTTGGATAATACCTGTACAGAACCGATAGTTTCACATCAGCTGCGAAGTCAGACATTGCAAGGTACAGAGATGTTCCATCTGCAGAACTCTGAAAGAAACGTGTGTAATAATCGGCCATGAAGACAAGTCGAACTTCACCCATGATGTTGCCTGTGACTGACGGTTTGTCTGGAAAATTGTGAAAAATCAAAATTTTATTTTGGAATCTGTATGTAAATGGGAAATCTGGGAAAGTTAATAGTAGTATAAAGACATAAGATGAAGAATGAAACTGATCACATAAAAATACGTTGAAATACAGATACATTTAAACAAACCTATTCGATCTGGTAAATCGGTAACACCAAACACGACATAGGATGATCGACCGATGCGAGATATGGGCTCTAGAGCACTTCGAGGGAGTTGTGGACAAAGTCGAAGTTGAGTGGTAATCCGTTCTAGTAATAACTCATACTCATTATTACTTCCAACACCAACTTTTTTTTGCTGACTTCGTTTCTTCTTTGGTTTAGGTGGACCTAAAGAGAATTTGTTCAAAGCAAAATATTAACCCTTACAATAAAAAACACAGAGAATCCGATTTATTTCAGAAAACCAACAACTGTAACGAAATATGGATGAGATTCAACCCATAGTATGTAAATGTGAAAAGAAACAAGAACAAAATAGGTTGCATAAATCATGGTTCAAACGATATTTTTCTGATATGAAGTGGCGTTAGGAATTCTTACAAAAGACTTACTAGTAAGCTCAAAACCTGCATAAGAATGTTTCTGAGACGAATAATCTTTTTTCATTTGAGATTCTAAAAGTCTCTTTAACATCCCACTCTTGCGAGCAGCTTCTGCACCTGAAGATGCACCCAGTCATTATTATGCAATTTCTGAAAGCGAATTATTTCGAATCTTGAAACTAAAACTAACCATCCACCATAAATACAACTTGTGTAATTAAACGGTCTATAACATCGTAAATATTCCTTTCAAACTCTGCCGAAACATTCTCAGTCCCAATATCCCCAGACACTGCTAGCCGTTTGCAGTCATCAATTCGATCATCTTGTTTTTTCCGTTTGCCTCTTCCAGTTCGATACTGCCAATCTGTTGAACCAGATGAGCATGGTCGATTACCAGATGGTGTTGGAGGATCTTAATCAGAATAAAAATATTGAATATCTTCAAAAAATGAAGATAACATTTTACTCTAAAAAATTAAGTTAATAATCATAGTAATGCAGTTCACATTTCAAAACTATCCACGAAAATTTATATGATGATTATAATTTCAAGTAAAATGAAAACAGACCCAGAAAAAATCCTGACATTGTTCCAATTTTTTACGATATAGACTGTACTGATTTCACAATATATGCAATGAAATAATATTGATAAAACTACCAAGTTATACCTGAGCATGACTGCATAGTCTCAGACTCGCTCCTTGCAACTGTACCATAATTAAGATTACAGTCAGGAACCTGATTTGTGCCAGGCTGATATGGAGCCCCATAGGTACTTCCTACACCAAAAGGATATGATGGGGGTTGACGAATACCATTTTTGGTAGCTGTCATTTCATTTGGCGTAGAAACCGACTTATTTTGAGACTGTTTTGAACGTGCAACATGTACATTAAGACCAACAGGCTGTACTACAGGTGCTAGTTGAGGAATAAGCTCAGGTGGTATACTGTTTTTCACTTCAAAATCTCGAACATTCGAAGAATGAAGTTTGATATCACGTTTACAATTTTCTAAATCCTTCTGTCGAATGGGTATAGCATTAGTAAGCGTTGCAAGGCAATGTCTGAAAAAACATAAGGTTAGTATGTCAGACCTATGTGATTCCCAAGAATTATGACTTCATGAGATGAGAACAAATTATTGCTGATACATTGCAAAACCGCTTCCTAATAAAATTTCATCACAGAAACAGCAAAAAAATTTGAGGATCTTGAGGATCAAAATTGCACGATGTGTAGAACTGTATCAAACTGATAAAAACAGCACTTAAACAAAGTAATGAGAGTGAAGCATGCCTATCAGTCTCACTGAGTTCAATTTCTATACGCTGCCCATGAGCATCGTACTGCTGATTGTTTTTATTTAACTGTCTTCTTTTCGCAGCAAGATTTTTTTTCTGTTTTCTCATGCGAGCTAAGTCATTTTCAATCGCCTAAAATCTCATAAAAATAAAAAAGTGTGACATCAAAAATCATTTGAAAGAGTTTATCCATAATTCACACACACCAACTGATATTTTGCTAATTCATTGCTCCGTTTATGCAATAGGCTATAATTGTCCAGAATTTCCTTGGTTAAGTGTGCTACTGAAGATTGCGGATTTCGAACCAGTGTAGGCCTAGGTTGGGATGATGTAACAAATGCGCCAGCTTCCTGAAAAATAGGCTTTTGAGCAGAAGAAAACAGCAAATCAGAAATAAAATGAGAAGTCTAGAATTTGGTTAATGCCAAATTTATTCCACAGAAGTAATTAAATGAGTTGTATAGGCTTAGTAATGAGATATATTATAGACCTTAGGAAGAAGCAGTTTGAAATAAATGATTGAACAGAAAGGATATTTAATGAAAATATTAAAGAATAATACCGGTTCAGATTGATAAAAAAGCTGATGTGTTGATCCATACGGTTGAACAGCAGGAATCTCTACTGAACCAGTATTTGCATTTGTAATTTGATTCAATGCGAATTCGTTATTACCATAGGGGACAGTTGGAACTTTAAAACTTTCATTATATTCCGCCTAAATAGAATTAAAATGTTTTTTCTTTTTAAATGTGATATTGCACCTATACATAAAACAATAAAAGGAAATTAATAACAAATATCGAGAACATATTACTTCAGAGCGATAACATTCTGCCATATTCTGTTGTCCTGTTTGTAATTCATATCTATTTTGGCCAATAATTGCCCGAACAACTCCTGCAAGAGTAGGAGTTGACGTTGCGATCCGCTTCGTCCGCGGCTGCTATAATATTAATTTGTAATTAATAAAAATTACTCTCTCAACTAAAAAAAGAATAATCACATAGTTAAAGGTAAATACCTTTACTCTATTTGCTCGATTTTCTCGAGCTTTGTTCACATACTGTTGTCTGCTATCTGCATCTAATGATCGCCACATGCGATGAATATGCTTTACTCGTTCTGGCCATTCCGGATATTGCTCCTTCCACTGCGGATAATTGATATTAGCATATAGAACAGCAGCTTTAGTAGCACGTTCACCCAATGGTTCATCCTCTTCCCATTTCTCTGTTGCTTGATTGACTCGTTCGGTACAAGAGTCGCCAAGCTCAAATAGTTTGATATAATGAAATTTAGATAACTCAAATCTTAAAATCAAACAGAAAGAATCAAATTTATAACACAAATCTAAATGACAGAATTCAAAAAAAAAAATACTTGACTACTCGATCGAGGTGCTGAATGAGGATATATATTAGTTTGATTATACACAGATGGCTGCAGTTGACGAATACAGTTATGTGAAAGATTTCCTGTTGAAATAGAAGCAAATTTTCGATTCTGAAAATTTATTGCTAGAAATAAGTTGCAGTTGCATGCCACATCACAATTTCAGTTAGAAATGGTAACTGTCTCACGAAATAGCAAAGCTTCATAATAGACTGTATTACCTGTTGACTCGAGCACAAATTTTGTGATCGCATAGGTATGCAATGTGGACTCATGGTAATTCGACCGTCTTCACTACAAGGACCCATTTTATCTAAAATATAGATAACAAGCTTGAAAGATATGATTAAAAACCAACATGAACTATCAACAAGAAACTTTACTTAACCCAAAAATAACATATTTTCAATTAGCATAGCCGATAAAATTCTGTCTTTTCCATTATCTTGGATGAAACACATTCAAAGAATAAACACCATCATATCTTTCCTGGTAAAATAGCCAATTTTTATCACGAAAAAAGGCGCTGTAAAAATTGCCGAAGTCATAAAAGTCACAGAGAATATGGAGATGAGTTTTAGTGATACCACTTAATGTATTTTCTAGTGTTTCATCGTCATCATCATCTTCATCGCCATCTAATAACAATTCATTTAAATCCAAATTATCAAAATCAATCTCTTCCATATTACCCAAAATATCGTTTTCCGTAATATTACTCAAAAGAGTTTCAGTTGTTCGCAAAGCCTAAAGATTATTACCAATTGAAAGAGTAAATATAATTTATTTTCATTTCTTTCGAACTACAGTCCACTAAAAAGTTTTTACTTTATACAAAGGTTATAAACGCATACATTTAACACAACTTTAAAATAACCTCCGAATCCACTTCGTTCAATACACAGGTTTCCTTTTGTTTTTCAGTAATCAAAACAGTTTTTTGATGCTCTATTAAATTTGGCTCATCAACAACAACATCTAATAAGCACCTTCCTTCAACTGGTCTCATGCCGAAAAAACCTTCCTGAAACAAAAAATAATTTTATATTCTGTTCAGAAAAAAGATGACAAATAACCAATTCTGGTGTGAAAGAAGGTCACAAACAAGTTATAATCCACTGCATTCAGGCACTATCTAAGAGACTGTGGCAAAACTAAAAAGATTGAGTAAAAGGTTAGTGATGATTTTACACGCCGATATTGTGGTGCTTTGACGGATCGTGTATCAGCTATAAATTCTTGAAAATGAGACTTTTAATAAATACTTAATTAGGAGGAATTTGCAAATTTTAAGTCTGATTCATATATCTTCTCTAACATCTTAAAATGACCTGAATAACGGGGGGATAATTATCTTCGAGTTGTGATCTTCTCGGCTTTCTGGGACGTTTCAACTTTGGCTTTGAAGACTCCTCTTCTACGTTATTTTCATCCTCTACATTGGAGAGCCGATGTCGAGGAACCTTTAAGTACCAATTTAAATCAAAGAAAAAGTGAAAACTGTGTAAACTCGAGATATTAATAACTACTTTTACAAAAAAGCCTCCAATGCCGATTTTCATCATTCTGCGACCAGGACCGCCATTTCGCATTCCTCGCCCTCGACCACCTATTCCAAAACCAAGAATTTCAATGTCATCTTCTTCCGTTGGTTCTAGAACTAGTGAAATCGAGTTAAGATCATAATAAATCCCTGATTTCAACTTGAGTTTACGAAGGTGTGCAACAGCAAGTTTTACTTACAACTTGAATTGTTCTAAGCAACTACATTGTAATGTGTGATAAATGAAATGGAATTTGAGAAGAATATATCTACTGATTTCAAAGAAGGATGCAAATAAAAAGTGAGTTTTAATCCGACCTTTATAATATCTGCCAAAAAATGGTAATATCTTTATATTAACGTAGTCTTAATTATTGTCATACCTATTCCACTTCAATGAAATATTTAGAATGATGATGTGAGATATTTCAGTTTGAAGGAGAAAATAAACCTTCAAAGAGATGCGACCGTGGTGAAAAAAAGAATGATGAAAAGTCGTGTGATGAATCTGTAGAACTGGCATAACGAATAAGTGCAGCGCCATAACAAGAATGTAGAGCTTCAAGAGCACATTTATTCATTGTCACATTATCACAAACTATCACACTGAAAGCATCATCTGTGGTATTACTATGAGGACGGCATAATGAACACCGGAATCCATTTTCTGATGCAGTTTCAAACATATCATCCCCATACAAATCTTCACATTTACCGTGGAGCCATCTGAAAAGAGTCCATTAAGACTACATGATATCTAATATGTTAACTAATTAAACTTAAATTAAGATTCATCACCAAAGCAAGAACATATTTCTATTCATATAATTACCTTTTTTAATAAGCTCTCATAAATATGAGAGCTAATTTTTTTTAAATACAAAAAAACTTTCCAAAACCACCTGCTGTAAAACATGTAGTTGCAGCAAAAAGTACCTCTCACAAAGCTGACACTTAATTATATTTTCTCCAATTTCATAGAATCTTGAACACTTGGGACATTTCCTAAGGGTAAAGCATGTTTCACAAAATCCATTTAACTGCTGAATATCAGCAAAGTTGAATATTTGTTTTTTACAACGTCGACAAGATGCACACCTAAAAAATCAAACTTCAACTTCGTCGAAATTGATGCTCAAAAGTAAGTTACAGTGATATGATCTGAGTTAGTAAAAATCTCATGAATATACCATTTACAGCGCCAGGGTCCTACTGGAATTCGCTCAAGAGGTGGCTCTAAGCAATAAATATGGTAAGAAATATCACACTCATCGCAAAGAATTAAATTCGATTCATCATGTCCTTCACCACAACCTTCACAAACAGTACAATCTAAGCAACGCCATCCTCGTTTCACTATCGTAGCATTGAGCTTTAAAAAACAAGGAATTTCAAAGCAAGCTTATTTCCGTTGGATGAAATGAAATTTGTTTTTTTTTTTCCGCATCAATCACATCGGATTTATTTTGTTTAACTTGAATATGCATAAGAAAGGCACCACAGAAAAAATTTATGAAAAAAATCTTTAACTACTAAGGCTATTTAATTAACTGTAATTCCGAAAAAAACTAGATTTGAATAATAAGGAACATTATGACGGTAAGAAAGACCTTATTGTGGAGCCCAACGCAATATGTATGGTAACTCTGTGAACAAGTTGCACAAGCCACCATAGTCTTTTCAACATCCTTTCCAATGCTACCGCAAATTAAGCACAAAGGCATTTGTAAAAAGTATGAATTTTCAGCACATGTAACAACCACCGTTCTTACGTAGTCATTTTCTTCCACGCGATGGCGAGTATCATCGGTTTCAGAACTTTCTTGATCAGCATCTCGACATGCTGCAGCTGCATTTACCATTGCTAACATTGCTGATGTTTTACCACCTCTGCACAAAATTTTTATTGTAAAATACACTTTCTATGCGTCATTCAGATAAGAAAAACACTGATTATTCACTGATTTCCTCAAGACATTTAGTAGCTTTCAGACAAAATCTCCAAAAACAGACCGACAGTACTCTACTTTCACAGTAAATATTCAAGGATTACACGACTGCCTCTGATTCGTTAAATGACTATGTCCTTACACTTTACCAAGCACTTGCGCGTAAGTGTCACAAAATCATTTTTCCTTAGTTTAATCTTTTCACGTCTGAATACATATATTGAAGTTTTGATAACCATCCTTGATTCTTTTTCTTTTCCTCCCTGCTTAATTTTCAGTCATTAACAGAATTACAAATTTGGTTCTAGTTATTGTTAAGCAATCGAAAATTTAAGCCGACAACTTATTGATTTCTGCCCTATGCTTACTTATTATATAACTTAGCGTAAATTCGTATCCCAATTACATTACCTGGGACGACGTCCTCTGCCATTTTTGTTTCCACCTCTACCACCTCTTTTTCCACGAAATGAGTGCATTGTTTCAGTGAAGTCACCAAGCGCACCAAGCGTACGTGTTCTCGGAGCTACTCCTCTACCATATGGTTTTTTCACTCCACCACCTCGGGAAGAGCGGCCAAAAGTACATGAATTATCACTTCGCTCTTTCCTAAACTTGTTTTAATCATAAAATCAAATAAAGTCGAAATCATTTCGCTTATGGCAGAATATCAAAATTTCACTAGAATCTAAAGAGAATTTTCTGCAAAATATTCAAATATTGCGAATTCTAACTTCGATGAAAATCGTATATCATCAACTGCGTCATTAAAGGTGCCAAGTTCTAAAAATGAACCCGGTGAAGCTCGACAAGATACAGGTCCACTTAGTGCGGTAGATGGAGATGGTGATACTAAAGAAGCTGATCCTAAAATTTGAAAAAATTAGGAAATTGAGTTATTATCTCACTAAAAATTTTAATTACTATTCTCTAACTCCGAGCGTAGCTGATGAACATGCTAAAATGACAGATAATCTTGAACTGCAATTTTGAAAGATGACAGTACAGTCTACTGAACACACAATTACATGGAATACATTCTCTCCAACCATATTAGTTCAATTTTCTTGGTATTCACATTCATGTACGTACTTGGCAATGAAACTATGAGGAATTTAAGACCATAAAAGTCCAAATTAAATAATTGAACGTCTTATATTTGAAATAATACCTGCAGACTGCTGAATACCGAAAAAATCGTTAAACGTATCCAGGTGCGATAATGACATCAATGGGCTATTTCTGTTTGAAGGCGAGTCAATACCAAAAGGATTATCAAAAGAAATGCCACGTGATGTTTCATCATGGGTTGAAATGGAAGCTGGAGATGGAGCTATACTGCTATTCCCAGCTGATGCCATCAATGCATCTGTAACCAATGGAGAATTGCGACAAATCTGACACACATATTCTGACTCCAATAAATTTCTGCCCAAAGCACCAGAATCGCAATCTGAGTGTACGAATCTGAAAAGTCCATTTTATATCCCTCCACATTGTAGTTTCTGTTTCCCAAAATGGATTAATTTAGGTACATAAAAAAGTATTTTCAAGAGGCAGTAATAAAAAATTGTGCACGCTGCATTAGAAAAGAATGCTGCAAAATAGATTTATAATCTGCTGCCCATGCTAAATAACAAAGCCCACCTTCTGCATGAACTACATGCCCGCATATTACTTGCAGAAATAAAAGGAAGAGCGCAGAGCATACATGTATGACTTGATATATTCATACCGATATTAAGCGTGAGAAATACCTGCCAAACCCATGATCACAAGAAATGCCTGCTACCTGAATACGTACACTCTCACTATAGGAAAAAATATCCTACAAAAAAGTGTAAAATACGAAAAAGCAGATATACGAAATATTTCTTCAGTGCCAAAACACCTTTCTAGAATCATACAGCTATAGCCTGGCGTCACTTTCAGATGTCAACATAGTTTATTGATCGTAGTCAATAGTGAAAAGCAAAAACATCGCGATGACCAGATGCCCCAAATTACACAGCACCGCAACACATGATAAGTCATTCTTTAAAAAAAGAAATCATCAAATGTTAGTCTAATAACAATGAATCCTATATGGTTTCTACGAGCCATCTAATCAATTTGATCACAAAGCAGTTGAATTCTGTTTCATACTTCCTTTTTTTTGAACGCATGGGATAAAATTACAGTAGAAACTTTGATCACCGTTTATCAAGCTTTCATAACTAGTAGTTTCAAATGCTTTATACAAGCAAGTGAGGGAAAACTGTCAAAGAATACATGTCACTTAATTATCATTTATTACAAAATCATGTTAAATGATTATCACTTCCAAAGCTTCTTTAGTGACATATTCTTATCTGAATCCTTCTGCATTACCTATAATAAAATGAATTACAATCTGAAAGATCAAAAATAGTGAACTTACTTTCTATTAAAATGTTCTTACTTTACCAACAGCCATTTCAAAATCTTCTTGAGTTACATGAATACGGCGTTCCCGTAGAGCAAACATACCTGCCTCAGTACAAACTGCTTTCACCTTAACGCAAAAGGAATTAGATATAAATTTTGCTATTGAATCGATATCAAAACTAAGCTGCAGCACTTATTTCAGCAAATTACTAAAATATAACGCACTTCAGCTCCACTTGCACCTGGTATAGCTTCTGCAATCTTCTTCATATTAATACCACGCATGAGATTCATTTTACGGGAATGAATCTTTAAAATATCTGCACGAGCTTTTTCATCTGGTGCAGGAAATTCGATTTTTCTATCGATCCTTCCTACGATCAATAAGAAAATCGTCATAAATAATGGATGAAAAAAATTTTTTGAAAACCATGAATGAGCGTAAAACGAAATTAAAACATATGTAGTCCAACAATGATCATAAATCGATCCCTAGAATATTAAGAGGTGTTAAATATACACAAAAGCTTACAGAAAAGAATTTTTCAGACTTAATAAAACTTCTAAAAGGTTTAGATAGACCTGGTCTTAACAGTGCAGGGTCAAGAATGTCGATACGATTTGTTGCCATAATCACTTTGATATTCTTTGTAGCTTCAAAACCATCAAGTTGGTTCAACAATTCTAGCATTGTGCGCTGAACTTCCGAATCACCTTTTCAAATAAAAAAATTGTTACCAAGAATTACTTCTATATTACTTTTGACTTGAAACTATGAAATTTTTGAAAAATAAGATACCACCACTGCTCCCCTCAACACGCGATGAACCAATAGAATCGATTTCATCCATGAATATTATTGACGGTGCATGTTCACGAGCCATCACAAACAATTCC